CCTCCTTTCATTTTTGAGAAGATTTTAAGGCTAGGAAAAGCCTACCACTCACCCCAATGCGTGTTCGCATCTATTCGAATTTTATTTAATGTCTAAGACATGCAGATTTCCTCACGATGTTTTCTTGTACCGTAGAGCACGTGGTAAATCACCACTTAAAATTTTAAATAACAAAATCATTAGTGCGGGCGAGGTTTGAACACCGGTTGCTCGCGTACTGTGAAATATCAGCTAAGCTATCTATCTATCTATCTACCAAGCTATCTACTAAGCGCTCGCTGTAAATATACAGCGAGCGCTTAGTCCCTGAGCTAATTCAGCTTATAACCTATACTTAAACTATCAAGAGAGAGTGCGAATTTAGTGAGTTTGTATACAAGTGGAGGATAATCTCCGGAACTACTGCACCTATTGGAATATTTCTTTAACCATTTGAAAGGTACATTATTCCAGATGGACATAGGCTATATATATATAATTATAAGGCAAAAAGTTATGATGATATTTGTCAACTAAGTCGGAAAAAGTCGTGCCTCTTTTGAGATTTCACAGTGTGCGCTGCATCAATAGGAAAAGTTGCATGAAAATTATGTATTGCTGAATTATTCCTCTAGAAAAGTTCTAAAAAAAGAGAGAAGACTTCTTTTGTGTGTCTCTGTCATACAGTATATGTGTCATATCATCTTCTAAGAATAACTCATATTAACTATTTTTATATAAAAACTCTCAAAAGATAATATATTTATGATGGCGGTCAAAGCGGCAATGACGGGACGGGAGAAGCTGCCGTATATGCCGGAAATAACATGTCAACTTACAACTAAGCAACCTAAATTTTTTATGCGCTTCTCTTCATATTATTGTCTACTTATGATATAACTGCATGTTGCAATGGGGAAACTCGGTGTCATATTGTTTTAACAGATTTTTTTTTGCGATTGCAATGAAGGTTTTAAATAATTTATATAAGCTAAATCTGAAATATATTATACATATATAGAATATAGATAATTGTTCAACCCAGGCAAAGCGGGGGCGGACTACTAGTATTATATTAAATATGTTATGTTAAAAACGAATCACCTCAGATCCGCGTTATTAAAACATGACTACTTACTTCCCGCCCTCTCTCAATTGCATGCACTATAACCATCGAGACACATCATACACGGACATTAACTAATTAATTTTGAACATCTTTAAGAAGAAGCACGAACAAAACGAAACGAAGTATTCCATCTTAGTCCTCAGGTGTGATAAATTTAGATGTCTAAGGACCACACCATCCACTTACTATCAACAGGTGGATTGTGTGCTTGCACCTGCTTGAACTTTGCACCATTATTCTATAAAATATTACATTGTGGTTCTCTTAAATCTAAAAAAAATATGATAGCCCTTATTCAAATCTTATCTGCATTACAATTCGCTTTAGCGTGTTTTATCTTGGACTCTCTAAAAAACAAAGTTAAATATTATCTTGATGCGTTGACAGCCCGTTGTCCCGAATTTTCATTTCTTTTCTCTAGTAGATTTCAGCCTACGCCGTGTTGAATTACAAGCATATCAAAGTAGGGTTATATTTTTAAAAGTTTATCAAAATTATCATTTAAAATCCACTTCAAGGTAAATACCCTTAAAGTATTCTAAAATATCTAACCTACGTAGATTAATTCGAATTTAGAGCTTATTAAAAGTCTTATTGTTGAAGTCTCTGTATAGGGCCTCTAGTGCTTGTGTCAGGATAAACGAGGCCTATTTGGACTGGTTTGGCATCCATAAAGGTGTCAGACAAGGCTGTGTGGCTTCCCCGTGGATGTTCAACCTATTTATGGACAGTTGTTTGGAAAATTTGAAAGTAGAAGAATGCGGTTTAAGAATGGGTGAGTTAACTGTCAAATGCCTTTTGTACGCCGATGGTCAAGTCATACTTGCATCGTCGGCGGCCGAGTTACAAATGATGGTTACATTAATGAACAGGACATTAAAATAAAAGGAAATGACAGTGAACGCAAATAAAACGAAAATTATGCTTTTTGAAAGAGAAGAAAGTAAAACGATATGTGAAATAAGAATAGAAGGGGAGTTGGTCGAGCAAGTAGACGAGTTTGTGTATTTGGGCTGTGTATTTAGCAGAGATGGTAGACATGATAAGGATATAAAACGACGAGTAAATGCAGGAAACAGAGTGAATGTGGCTCTACACCCTATTGTGAGAAGTCAGAATATGTCCAAAAAGGAACGTATGGCAATTCACAATGCTGTGTTAGTCCCTACTTTAATGTATAGTAGTGAAAGTTGGGTGTGGTAGAAGAAGCACGAGAGTAGAATAAAAGCTGTAGAAATGCGGTCATTAAGGAGTATGTTAGGAGTGAATCTGAATGACAGAGTGAGAAATTGTGTGATAAGAGAAGAGTGTGGTGTACAAGATGATGTTGTGACTAGGAATAAGAAAGGAATGCTTCGGTGGTTTGGTTATGTAGAAAGAATGAGTGAGGAAAGAGTGACAAAGCAAATTTATGTTGCAGAAGCGGCAGAGTCGGGAAGGGACGCCCTAGTCGATAGTTTATCGACCAAATTGGCGATAGATTGAAAATGGGCCAAATCAAGAGTACCTTTAACCGACGAGCGTGTATGCGTAGGTATATGGATGTGGAGGAAGCGAGAGAGGTGTATTAGAATCGTGTCAAATGGAAGTCCATAGTCTCCGCCCAACCCTCTGGGTGACAGGCGTGAGTGTTTATGTTATGTTATGTAAAAGTTCATTGCTGAGCATAAGCTTCCCCCATAGACAGCCTCACATGGGGAATATTTCCATAGTTGTCACGCTTGGCTACAGGGTTGGCAACTACAGGTGTTATTATTTTCAGTTTTTTTCAGGAAGATGCTGCTGCCCATCTTTTGTTTTAGTTTCCTTCTGTCGCCTCTTATGAAACCTTTGTGATGAGAGAAGATAGTAATTTCTTTTACGCGGCACATTTGGAGTCTGAGTACAAGTAAATTTATTTCAAGTAGTTTCTTTTAATATAACAAATGAAAATTATTACCACCAACCAGGGTTAACTTGACAACAGTATGTAAAGTACAGTCAGTCCATGTAATTGTGGTGGTGGCATGGCACTCGAAACTTAAAAGGTATACTAAAAAGGGTCTTCGGTTCTCTACTCTCACCATACGATACTGCTTAACTGTTTGCTGATTTTCGCTGGGATTCTATAAGAACGTGGTACTGCCTCATTCGAGCCAAGCATAGCATTGCTGAAGCGTGACTGTACTTCACTACACTAGGATTTACTCTCGTATCGTAGTGACATTTTACATACTCAAATTTCACAAGGACTGTTTGTAACTTAACATTTTGTAAAGCTTCCAACGTCTTCGATAGATGGCGTTGGCTTCAAATTAGAAGTCGTTAACGTTTGGCTTCCGCAATTTGTATAGGTCTATGCGATTTATTTTCAATAAACGAGATCGAATCAGGGATCGACTCCGAGATCAGTACGCAGTTGTGGTCTTTTATTTAAATTTCCCGCTTGCTACAGTTCAGGTCAACTCAATCTCCCCTAAATACCACCCGGTAATTAAACATTGGCCCATACGAGCCGGATCGTTTGGACACAGGTCTTTTGATTTCAAAGCGGCCACCGCTGGCCCGCTTCTCCGTGTACTTGTAGTGGATCGCTACAGAGAGGTACACGAGTCCTCCGCACCAGCGGCGACAGCTTCACCCAGCATAGGCGGTGAGCTGAGCCAGCTTTAGCGGATTAGTTCGAGTGGCCACCAGAGGGCGCCACTCTCAGATTAACACCCCAGACGACGCAGCAAGGTGACGCAGACGCAGCCATCACACGACGTCACAGAGGACGCCACACGCAGTACAGCTGGCAACCCACAGGGGGCGCCACTTGCATGTTCAAAGGTGTTTGTGTGAAGTGCAGTTTCGTGAGTAAAATTTGTTTATATACATATCGTCCACATATCGAGTGAATTTGAACTCTATTCTAACGTCAATTTAAACTTTGAAAAGGTGAAGAACTATCTTGGACTTGTAAAATTTTAAGGACAATTTTAGACTTAGTTTATTTTAGTATTTGTCAATTTGTGTGCATGTTAGTATTAGGACTTAGAATAATTTAAAGAAAACGGGGGAACGGGGAACCTATGCCCGATTTCTATCAGATTTTGTGTGCTTCCAAACACTTGTAAAATTTTCAAAGGTGTCTTGATACTTGTATTATTTCTAGGATTTCTATTTTGCCAACATAGATTTGAAATACTTTGTTTTAAATAAGTTTTATACATAGTTTTATCAACTTTACATTGTTATTTACAAGGTTAAATCAAATTGAAATCAATTTAGATACATTTTATTTATTTGCTTGCTTATCTTCACGCACAATCCCTGACGGGGTAGCCAGAGAGAACAGATCGCCAAGTGTCACGATCCTTACAAACCTCTTTCGCTTCTTTCAGATTCATTATCTTTTTCATGCATGCACGTCTAGGTATCCGAGTACTTTTGACCCTACCCTCTTCGAGCAATTTGCTCACATGGTCTTCGAAAGTTAGTCTCGGTCTACCTCGACACCTTTTAATATTAACTTTCGCGCTATATATTTTCTTCACCATTCGGTCTTCACTCATTCGCTCAACGTGCCCAAACCACCGAAGCACGCCCTTATCAATTTTTGTGATAAGGTCATCTTTCAAACCTGCCATATTGCGAATCTCTTCGTTTCGCTTTCGGTCGGCCATGGTAACGCCGCACATTTTACGAAGAGATCGCATCTCCACTGCATTCAACTTACTTTTATGCTTCTTCTGGCATACCCAGGTTTCGCTGCCATATAACAAAGTCGGTACCAACACTGCGTTATGTATTGCAAGGCGTGCACTCTTCGCTACGCCTTGCCTTTTGACTAACGCAGTCAGGGCACCATTGACTTTGTTCCCGGCAGCGACACGCATTTATTTATTTAGAAAATCAAATAAATAATAAAATGGAAGGATTAATTAATGTATTAAAAGATCAACAAAATGTTATAACAAAGGGACTAACTAATTTTAAAAAATGTGGTAAAGATAGGTTAACCATAGAGTATGTGGAAACAAGACAAGAATTATTAGAAAAGGATTGGGCATTGTTTAAAGAAAATAATACTAAGTTATACGAACGTTTCAAAGCAGAAGATATATCACAAAGGGTTGTTGATATTTATGATGCTACAGAGGATACTTATATTGTTTACAAAAGCTTAATGAAAACTACCCTTAACACAATTCGGTCAGCTAAAGATTCTTTAAATCAAGCCAATACTTCTAGCACATTTAATAAATCAAGTAGTTCTTTCGTAAAGTTGCCCAAAATATCCATTCCAACATTCTCAGGAAAATATGATGAATGGACAACATTCCACGATCTGTTTACCTCATTAGTACATAATAATGAATCTTTAGATAATGTACAAAGGCTTCATTACCTAAAGAGCCACCTTTCCGGTGAAGCAGAACAATTGATTCGCCACACACCTGTAACTGATGCCAATTATATTCAGTGCTGGAATCAATTACAGAAGCGTTATAACAATAAGAAATATTTAACAAATTGTATTCTTAAACGGTTGTTTAATCAAAAACGTATGCAGGTGGAATCATCTACAGCTCTGAAGGAGTTACTTGATACCACTTGTGACTGTCTTAATGCGTTGAACATTTTGGGTATTAACGTGAGCACATGGGATGTTATTATAATTCACATAGTTTCATTTAAATTGGATAATGAGACGCGTAAGCAATGGGAGCTTAGTGTTGGCAACAATGACTCCAGCAATGACTTACCAACTTTCAACCAATTTAAGTCTTTTATAGAAAATCGGTTTCGTGCGTTAGAATGTTTAGATCCTAAAAGGGTACCAGTTCACCAGGGCAACAACGTTAATAAAGCATCAATTGCTCACTCTCCGAAGGCAATGTTGACTACGAGTTCATCAATGCGATGTGAGTTTTGCTTAGAAGGACACAAATTGTGTTTCTGTAAGAAGTTCTCAAAACAGACGGTTGAAGCACGTCGTGATTTTGTGATAATACATAAAATATGTTTCAACTGTTTAGGCGGCAATCACATGGTTTCGGAATGTAGAAAGCCTACTAACTACATACACTACATGTAAGGTTTGTCAAAGGCGCCATCATTCGCTACTGCATATTATTAGCCAGGAGTCGGACAAAAGGGATCAACCTTCGACGGCATCGACTGTCGACAGTGTTAGTTCACCTAATGCTGGCCCGATTGTTTCATGTCTGTCAATAGGTAATACTCCCAAGCCCCGACAGGTTTTATTAGCCACAGCGCTAATAAAGGCCGAGTCACGCTCTGGTGACTTTCAGATGGTCTGAGCCTTGCTCGATCAGGGTTCGCAGGCATGTTTTATTACAGAGGCCGTAGTTCAGCTGCTCAACTTGAAGAAAATTCCGATCCAAGGAACTATCTCAGGCCTTGGCGGCAATAGTTCAACTAAAGCAACGTACATGGTACGTTTAAATATAAAATCGCGAGTAGATCCTGTATTCAGTCTTACGGTTAACGCTTACGTACTTACCAAAATCACGTCATACTTACCTGAATACAAAGTACACACTACTTTAGATTGGTTAAGCGTTAATACGCTACAGCTTGCAGATCCAGAGTTCAACACGCCCAATAAGATAGACGTGTTGTTGGGCGCTGATGCATACAGTTGCATTATTAAGGCAGGTATTGTTAAGAGCCCGTCCGGTACGCTGATTGCTCAAAGCACTACCTTAGGGTGGGTCCTGTCTGGCGCTGTCAGTAGGGAAAGTTCAACAAAAATTAATGTCTTGCATGCACAACTTAGTGATGACGAATTATTAAGAAGATTTTGGGAAATTGAAGAGCAAAATAGTTCAAAGAAAATATTGACACTCGAGGAGAAGAAGTGCGAAGAGCTGTATAGTAAAACTACCATAAGAGACGTCAGTGGAAGATACGTAGTAAGATTACCTTTCCGCGAAGAAAATCCATCTTGTAAAGGTTGTGGCTCTCGTGCTATCGCTGAAAGGAGATTTAAATCTTTAGAAAAAAGGTTAGGAAGGGATGTAGATTTAAAGGAAAGATACAAGCAGGTCATAGAAGAGTATTTACAACTAGGACACATGAGGAAGATAGAAAAAAGGGACAAGAATAGGGATGCAGCGGTATACTTACCTCACCATGCTGTAATCCGGGAGGACAAAACTACCTCGAAGGTACGTGTCGTGTTCAACGCCTCCGAAAAGAACAACAATGGAGTCTCACTCAATGACACGTTGATGGTGGGACCTACATTGCAGTCTGATTTGAGACACACAGTTTTAAGATGGAGATTTCACCCTATTGCACTGGTAGCAGACATTGTTAAAATGTACCGCCAGGTCAGGATTTCGGATGAAGATGCAATGTTACAACGCGTTTTATGGCGAGACAGTTCTGAAATCGAAATCGAGGACTACGAACTAGTGACTGTTACCTTTGGGACGGCATCAGCACCATACCAAGCAGTCAGAACACTTCATCAAGTAGCCTACGATGAAGGCCACAATTATACAGTTGCTGCAGATAAGATTCTCTACTGCTTCTGTTGTGGTATTCAACACCTTTTGATGTAAATGTTACTTAAAATACTGTTTATGCACAAAATGTTTATTATATTGTTATAATATTATTGTTACAATGTTTTTAAATGTTATATGTTTATAAATGTTATGTATGTGAGCACACACGAGACAATGTTGGCGTCCGTACATGTACTGACTTAAATAAAAACTTTAAAGTAAAATGCCTACGCGTACATAATGTGTTCGGTGTAAACTGAACATCTTCCCGCACAACAAGGGAGATAAACTAAAAATACATAAAAAAGTAAAATTATTTGAGAAAAGTTAGGTATAAAATTATTCTTCATCGCGTTTAAGAATGAGAGTTCGCAATATAGGAGATGTTGCTCGGTCTTGAGTGTTGAACGCGTTCGGGACCGCGGGTGAGGACGCACGCTCGGTGCTGGCGGCGACGGGTTGCGTTCTCGGGGCGGGCATTGCAGCGGCGCGCTGCGCTCTCGGGGCGGCCAGCGCAGCCACAGGAGCGGAGCTTAGACCTTCCGTGGTTATGTTATCGAGGCTAATACTTGAAGTGATAGCTGTGTTTCTTCTTTGTCGTAGTCGTTTGCAGGCAAGGCATATAGCAGCTATCACAGCCACTCCCACCAGGATGTAAATCGCGACGTAATGATGTATGTCATGGAATGTTATGTTTTCAGCGATCACATTTTGGGATTTTAGGTGTTTGATGTTTTCGTTCAAGGTGGTTAGGTTGGCTTGGAAACTGTCAGCGTCTTTTTCCAACTCTCCTGTTTCTGGGATAGAGAGCTTGATAATTTGGTTAATAGCAGCGATTTCAGGCGTATAAATTTCAGGTCCGGTTTTCAATTCACTCGTAAATATTTTGTGCGTATAGATTGATAATTCTTCACTTTTGATTGAGCAACCGGCAATGACCCCGGCGTCTCTCAGCCGTTCCACGGTAACTTGATCACCGCAAAAAATTCTTACGTTGCATTTGTCGCACGTTGTAAATAAGTAATTGTTCGCTTTATTTAATTGAATAAACATGTTACTGCACTCGGCGATGTTTATTTGGCACTGATTTGTGTAATTATTCTTCAAACACAGATCTTCATCTGAATTTCTTTGGTATATGGGGTGTTTGAGGTGGCATAAATGTGCTGAAAAATCGTACATAATACACTCTTGTAAATCGATAGATGTCATTGGGATGTAGATATCCTTTTCTAAATTAATTGCAATGTAATCTGCAATCGGTTTAATGTTCACAAAATTGTTGGTCCGTTTATGAGGAATCGGTATAACTCTGTATAGGTTGTAATTATCTCGGCTGACCAATGGTAATCTGATTTCAAAAATCAAGTACTTATTAGTCATCTTTGTTTTCACTTGAAGAAACTGATATATTTTTTGAAAATCTGATTGTATGTTTGATATAGGTAGAGTCAAGTCCTTAGGTATTTGTCCAGATATTGTGTTCAGTTCATTTCTCAACTGAGTAGGGCTTATGAGATGAACATCGAACCTTCCATGATATATATCGGTGATAGCGTCTGTCATCATGTTTTGTATGCTTTTCAAGTTCAGCAATAAATTGTTCGCTATGACAGACATAGCCAAAAATTGGTTGATGTTATAAAGTTTTTCCAATTCTGTTTTTACTTTGTTTATGTTGCTGTCTAAAGCACTAATCTGTTTGTTGATAATCTTGTGTTGTTTTCTCATAACTTCTTCCATTCTTTTCATCATGTTGTATTCCGCTTCGATAATAGACGTTTGATTCTTGAACAGGGAAGCCAAATGATGTTCATTCTGTCTGACGAGTGTGATATCTCGCTCATACTTTTCTGCGAAATGGTCGTCGAGTACTCCGAAGAGACTATTCGCGATATACCCGACACCATTGATAAGCCCTCGTTTCTGTCTGTCGTGCTCGGTTTGTTTACCTAGCAACATGCGGTTGTAGTACTCGAGTTCACTGGTACTATGACATAACTGCAATAGCATCGCATCACAATGACCGTCACCCTTCATTGTTTTACATATGTTTTCTATGTGTTTTTGATATTTGTCAAGTGCTTCGGAGCCTTCCCAAAATGGTTGCATGTTGTAGTAAATTATGAGCTTCCAGTTGTCTCGAATAAGTTGGATGTTGGAAATAGCGTCGAAATACAAAGATTGATTAAGTTGCTGAATAGTATAAGCACCCTGCGTAGGTATGATTATACTCAAGAAAAATAGCAATGCAGCACAAATTGACAGCAGACTTGTTTTAGCTGTTATCTGGTGTTTTCTGAGTTCAGGTTCCTGGTTTCCTCGCAGTGGCAGTATGGATAATTTGGTAACTGGCCGTTTTAAAATTCCGTTTTTTGTTTTCAAGGAGACAACTCGAACGAAACCATCTTTTCCTGGGTGTAAATGTATAACTCGACCTGTCAACCATTTTCCAGCAGGTAAGTTCTCTTCTTGAATTGTCACCAATTGACCGACTTGAATGTTAGATGTCGACTGCTTCCATTTGTTTCGAACGGTAAGTTGTGTAAGGTATTCCGATTTCCAGCGCTTCCAGATATCAGCCATTAGTTTTTCTGTTAAGTTCCATCTTGTTCGCGCGTCGTGTTCTGTTTCCAGTATGGTTACATCAGCTGTTCCAGTTAAGAAATGCGAAGGCGTTAAGAAGTCCAGGTCCTCCACATCCTCAGTTAATGCACACAGCGGCCTAGTATTAAGGCACGCTTCTAGCTGAGTAAGTATCGTTGAGTACTCTTCGAATGTTAATTTTTGCTCTCCGATAACACGTTTGATGTGATATTTCAGGCTCTTGACCGCAGCCTCCCAGAGTCCTCCCGCTGATGGCCAAGAAGGAGCGTTGAAGTGGAATTCGATCTCCATTTTCGTAAGTTCAGTTAAGAATTCTGGATCAGAAATATTTTCTTTAAGCTGCTTTATGTTTTGTTCTAGAACACGGCTAGCACCGACGAAGTTAGTGCCCTTGTCGCAATATATGTGACGCGGCGCGCCTCGACGAGCTGCCATACGACGCAGTGCGGCCAAAAATGCTGACGACGTGAGGTCGGACACGAGTTCGAGGTGCACGGCCTTTGTTGCCATGCACACGAATACAGCCACATAACCCTTGTTTGTTTTTATGCCTCGACCCTTGCTTGCCTTGACGTCCACGTAACCCGTGTAGTCAACTCCTGTATGATAAAAAGGACGGGAGGGGTTTGTCCTGGCTTCAGGCAAATCACCCATGATCTGGGGTTGTATGCTGGGAGCGTGACGTCGACAGGTTATACAGGTTCTTATTAACCTTTTAATTGTTCGATTTCCGCCAACAATCCAGTACTTTTGTCGAATGAACGCTGACGTCAATCGCGCGCCGCCATGAAATGTGATCTTATGCGCGCTATCAATCAGTAATTGTGTAGAACGGCTTCTGTTCGGCAAAATTATTGGATGTTTCATATTATATGTGATATTTGCGAGTTCTAATCTGCCATCTACTCTTAAGATGCCATTTTTATCTATGAACGGATTCAACTTTGATAATGGGCTCTTTTTCGGTACTTGTTTATTTTGCGTAATGTTATTGATATCGTCTTTGAATTCGGCTGATTGCACATGTTTTATTAATAAATTAGTAGCTGTTTGTAACTCTGCTATTGTTAGGTAGGGCTGCCTCTGTTTAGTTTTATCTTTTTTGACTCGTAGAATCCATGCTAATATTCTTACTAAGCGTGTAAATGAGCTTTGTTTTTCTATAAGTTGCGGTAAAATGTAGCTTTTTTCTTCTTCTTTTGCTTTCTGAGCTACTAAAACTTGCTTTTCCTCTTCGTTGGTTGTATACATAGGGTTGTTTTCTACATCTTGTTTATATGTTAGTAGCCAAGAGGGCCCTTGCCACCAAATCGGGTGGTCTTTTAGTTGTCCTGCTGTTAAGCCCCTGCTGGCGCAATCTGCTGGATTTTCCTCCGACTTCACATAGCGCCAGCAGGCGGGGGGCATATTTGTGATCACTTGTTTGACCCTGTTCGCCACGAAAGGCTTCCATCGTGCAGCGTCTCCGAGCAACCAGCCTAGAACAGCGGTGGAGTCACACCAACCAAAGATCTGTATGTTGTACGTACTTAGGCAGTTGACAACCTTGTTCATCAATTTTGATAATAAAACTGCGGCATTTAATTCGAGCCTTGGTATAGTGATAGGCTTTTTGATGGGTACTAGTCGGGTTTTGGCGGCAACTAACACCACCATTGAATGATGATTTTTACTTGTTCTGCAATATATGGCGCAGCCGAATGCTCTCTCCGACGAATCGCAGAAACCATGCAATTCGACTAAGCTATTTTCTTTTGTTCCCAACCATCTAGGTATTTGTAGTTGATCAATCATTTTGATGCCATGTTTCATGTTTATCCATTCTACTTGGATTTCTTCGGGTAGTTCATCATCCCACTGAAGATTCAGCTGCCATACTTTTTGGAAGAGGAGTTTTAGTCTCAGTGTTATAGGAGCAATCAAGCCGATTGGATCGAACTGTTTCAAAATTTCTGACAAAAGACTTCGCTTTGTACATTTCTTCTCAGAGTCAGTAATTTTTGTTTGGAATGTGAAAATATCTTGTTTAGAAATCCAGCTGAGTCCAAGTGTTTTCGATGAATGTGCATGTTTAAAATTAAAATTTTTGTTGTCTTGGTTGTTGTTGATGTTAAGTAGTTCCTCTTTGTTGGAATTCCATTTTCTTAAGTTGAATCCTCCAGACTGAAGCAGGCGAATAAGCTCTTGTTGTAATTCCAATGCTGACGTCATAGAATGGGCTCCATACAGCAGGTCGTCCATGTACATTGCTTTTTCCAGGGCCTGGATTGCAGTGGTGGAGTAATCATTTTTTCGTTCATCGTTTGCTAATCGTTTAAGCGTCATCATGGCCAAAAATGGGGCAGCTTTTGTGCCATAGGTGACTGTGCATAGTTGTAAGTCTTGTAATGCAGAACTTGGACAATCTCTCCATATTATTTTTTGGAGAAGCTGGTCATCTTGATGAATCCATATTTGGCGAAACATCTTTTCAAGGTCAGCCGTAAATACTATCTCAAACTGTCGCCACTTGATCAACAGTTCCTGAATGTCTTGCTGTAAGTTTGGACCTGCATACATAACATCATTGAGACTCGAACCTGTTGAAGTCTTGCATGAGCCATTGAACACTACTCGCAAGGCCGTAGTTGTCGATTCCGGTCGTTGTACGCCGTGGTGAGGTATATAACATTCGAGTCGACCCATTGAATCAGCGGGTTTCATATGTCCAAGCGCTAGGTACTCATGAATGAAGGCTTTGTAATTTTGTTCAAAACTGTTGTTTTTTCTAAATGTTTATTTAGTTAAAGTCTTTCTTTCCATGCTTAAAAAATGTGCGATTGCCTTATTTTTGGACGAACCCAATTGTTTTTCATATCCTGGTTTGAGTGGGAGTCTGACCTCGTATCTACCATCACTCAGTCGTTTTGTTGTTTCTTCATAGTATTGAAAACATTGAAGGTCTTCTTCTGATAAGTCGAAATGCTCAGTAATGTCCTCTGTTTCCCAAAATTTTTCGATTTGTTCGATGTTGTTCAAAATTACATTGCATTGGTATGTTTTTGTATTTCCACACAAAATCCAGCCGAGCCGAGTCTGTTGGGCAATCGGCACAGATTGATCTTCTTCTCTGCATATTCCAGGTAATATAATGTTCGTATATATGTCAGCACCCAGAAGAAGATCCACCGGTCTGCTGATGTTGAAGTCTGGGTCAGCTAGTTGTATATTGTTCAAGAATGACCACGAAGGTTTAGCAAATGTTGAATTTGGTAATTGTTTGATAAGATTTTGCATGATAAATACCGACGTGTCAAAAACGTAGTTGTCGTCCATTGATGAGCATGTTAAGTGAAGTACTCCTTTACAGCTTTACAGTTTAACACCAACCCCATAAATACTACCTTTGCAGTTTCGTCTAGGAAGTGCTAGTCGCTGGGCCGCATTCTCAGATATTATTGAGACTTGCGAACCCTGATCAATAAGTGTGCGCATTATTTTATAAGTACCATCTGCGGCCCGCACCTTGAGCATCGCTGTCGCTAATAAAATTTCTGTCATATCGTTATTTTGTTGAGTAACGTTGGAGTTACTTATGCTGACACGATTATTTTCCACTTCTGACGACATCGACGACTTGTTTTTCACATTCGCATTGTTTTGCGGCTTGTTTGAATATGACCGGAAGGCGTCATGTAACATAGTGTTATGATTTTCGTTCCATTCACGACACCGCTTCTCTGAAAGGCATGCTTTACCTTGATGATTAAAAAGACAGTTTTGGCAAACATTTAATTTTGTTACTGTTTTACGTCTTGTTTGTGGAGACATGTCCAAAAATTCTTGACAAAAGAATAGTCCATGATCCTTACTGCAGAGTGGGCATGTATATGTTATGAAATTCTTGTTTTTAACAGCTTGTAAGTTAGGTGACGCAGAACCCCTCGACGAGATGTTGGATGGATGCTGGGTTGTTACTCGATTACTGGCGTATGATTGTTTGAAATAATTCGATTTCGAAGTTTTCGGATACTGATTTTGATTACTTGGAATGTGTGATTTTTGATGAGTGTTGTCTTGTTTTCTACGTCCAGACTCCATCGACGTAAATGTTTGTTCCAAAAACTTGAGAAATTCTTGTAATTTTGGCAGTTCCCGGGGACATTTCAAAGATTGAACATAATCATGATGAGTTTCGTTATCGAGTTTTTGAGTCAACAGGTAAACAATAATCGGATCCCAGGTGCTTATGTCAATTCCTAGGTTTTTTATTGCATTTAAGCATTCCTGCGTAGTGTCGTGAATTTTCTTGATGTTGGTCACTGATGCTTGATGGGGAACTGGCAAACTCATTAATATGTTCATGTGAGAAGTGAATATAAGTTTCGGGTTATTGTATCGGTTGTTTAAAATGTCCCAACAGATAATATAATTATCCGAGCTGATCTGTAGGTGTTGTATCAGCCGCTCCGCCTCTCCCCTGACCTTGCTCTTTAAAAACTGCATTTTTTGAGCACTGGAAAGGGAGCGATTGTTATGAATGCATTCCGTAAATAGATCTTTGAACGGAACCCATTGGTGATAATTCCCGTTGAAGATAGGAATATCAAGCTTTGGTGTAAATTGTTCCTGATGAGCTGTTGACTATATTTTCTTGTTGATTGCCTTCTTTATGTCACTAAAGCTTCTCTCATGGACGGAAAATTCTTGTTCGTATGCTACGTTAGTACCCTCCAGCTCGCTGTCGAGCTCCCAATGAAGGGAGTCGATACGGTTCCATCTAACACTCAAGGTCTTCAGAGCATCTTCTAATTCCCAGTTATCGGTTAACAAATCCAAGTCAATGTTTGCTAACGTTCGCTTAAAAGCTCTAAAATTGCTACTTTGCTTACGCAACATCTCATCCAGCTTGCTGTTAATACTGCGGTCCACCTGTCGCGGTGTTGCTGACGACGTTGATGGCGGGGGGTTGAAATTTGATGGTTTTATGATCGGAGTAGAGGGTCTTGATTTGTCTTCAGTTGGTAAGAAACTTTGTATGTAGTCTTTTGTTTTTGTATAAAAATCAAGAACTTGTCCGTATTGATTCTGTACAATGTAGGAATGGTTTTCATCACACAACTCACGTACCTGGAGGTGAAGGTTGTGAAATTCCTGCCAGTAAGTATCCAAAGTCTCCAGTCGTTTTTTGATATGAGCAGCAGTCCTACGGTCGGCGCCGTCCTTTTTGAAGTTGCTGAGCAGCTGCTCCATACCAGAAACCATCTGTTGTTGATTTGCTTGTAAATCTTCCATGATGTTGTTGTTGATAGGTATTCGCTAAGTGTTAAGTGAACTGATCGCTTCCTGTTTGCGGTCCGTGTGACGGTGAACTTCCAGCGATATATTATGCGCCTTCTCAATCTGCCTGGTGAGACCCGCTTCTGGGAGGCCAGACAAACCGATTCGCTATCACCGAAAAAATCACAATCACACTTCACTCTCGAAGGACCAAAAAGATGTTGTGGTATTCAACACCTTTTGATGTAAATGTTACTTAAAATACTGTTTATGCACAAAATGTTTATTATATTGTTATAATATTATTGTTACAATGTTTATAAATGTTATATGTTTATAAATGTTATGTATGTGAGCACACACGAGACAATGTTGGCGTCCGTACATGTACTGACTTAAATAAAAACTTTAAAGTAAAATGCCTACGCGTACATAATGTGTTCGGTGTAAACTGAACAGCTTCTACATGGACGACTTGATGACCGGTTGTAACGACGTCGAAGAAGGCCTGGAAATACATCGTCAAATGACAGACTTATTAGGAAAGGGTGGATTTGCGCTTCAAAAATGGAACAGTAATAATCAAGACATAGTAAACAAAATACAGGACATAGAAAGTAATATACTAAAAGGACAAATAGATCAAAACAGGACAAAGGATAACAAGGACAACACAAATAATCACAATATCATACAGGACATAAAATCAATAGAACAACATAAACCAAATAAATCAGGAAATAAACAAAACGAAGTAGAAATAAAACTTGACAGTACTATTAAAATTCTAGGACTTACCTGGAACCGCAACGCAGACTGCTTCCAGTACACGGTGAACCTCCCGATGCCCACGACCGCACCTGTAACTAAACGAGCTATTATTTCTGTGATAGCACGACTTTTCGATCCATTAGGTTGGTTAGCCCCTAGTATGATTATAGCGAAGGTCTTCATACAGAAGTTGTGGCTTGCAGGTGTTGATTGGGACCAGGAGCTAACCGATGATTCAATAAATGAATGGATACCGTATCGTGAAGAGTTGATATTACTCACCAAGGTTCGGATTCCTCGTTGGCTTGGTACAAAGTCGAACGACTATCTGGAACTTCACGGTTTTAGTGACGCCTCCAAAACAGCTTACGCAGCTGCTGTTTACTTGCGAGTTGTCGGTTCAGATGGTAACATTAATGTATCGTTGCTGGTTGCTAAAACTAGAGTCGCACCAGTAAAACAAATAAGTATTCCGCGATTGGAACTCTGTGGAGCGGTCTTGCTGTCACAACTGCTATCGCAAACAGCTGAGGTCTTGAATGTCTCTCAAGAAAGGGTCAAGGCGTGGACTGATTCCACTGTTGTGTTGGCTTGGATAAACAGCCACCCAAGCAGGTGGAAGACATTTGTGGCCAATAGAACATCTGAAATATTAACCTCAATGAAAGCGTCGCAATGGTTTCACATCTCCACAAAGGATAATCCAGCAGACTGTGCCTCGAGAGGAATACTTCCTAGTTCAATACCAGAAAACAATTTATGGTTTACTGGACCACCGTTTCTTAAGCTACAAAACGTAGTTTACAATAGGCCAAATCACAACAATTGTACTACAGATTTAGAAGAGTCAGCAAAGGTACATGTAGCGACAATTCCAAACGAATCGTTCTTTGATCGGTTTTCTCAGTTACGAAGATTAGTTAGGATTGTTGCATACTGTCGTAGATTTTTAAAGGAGAACAAAATATACAGAAAGGGATATTTACAAAAGACAGAATTAGACGCTGCACTCGAAAGTTTTATAAGAAAAACACAGAGAGAACTATTTACAACAGAATATGAAGAATTAAAGAACAAAGGCTATATACAATTAAAATCAAGCCCATTAAAGTCACTCTGTCCTTACCTTGATGATAAGGACATCATGAGAGTTAGAGGGAGACTGGAAAAGTCAGAACTCAGCGAACAGATGAAACATCCTATCGTCCTGCCTCACTCCAGTCACCTAACTAAGTTAATCATAGCTGACGCTCACCATAAAACCCTCCACGGGGGTCCCCAGCTCATGATTAACTATTTGAGAACAGCCTACTGGATTATTGGGGTTAGAAATCTGGTCAAACATCATGTCATCAAATGTGTCATATGTGCTAGGCAAAGAGCCAGTACAAAAAACCAATTCATGGGCTCACTACCAGCTGTTCGTTGCAACCCAGCTCGACCATTTCTTCATAGCGGGGTTGACTATGCTGGTCCAATTAGCATAAGGACAACAAAAGGGCGTGGCCATCGGTCATACAAGGGCTATATATGCCTCTTTGTATGCATAGTCACTCGAGCTCTGCACTTAGAAGCAGTGAGTGACATGAGCACTCAAGCCTTTTTAGCGGCGTTCAGACGCTTTGTTTCAAGGCGAGGTCATTGTGCCAAACTGTGGAGTGACAATGGCACTACATTCGTAGGTGCCTCCAGGGAGTTACAGCAGTTGACAGCTATTCAGTCATCAATAGCCGAACACCTCGAAACGAATGGTACAGAGTGGCATTTCATTCCTCCTCACAGTCCCAACTTTGGTGGACTCTGGGAGGCAGGAGTGAAATCTACAAAATTCCATTTGAAGCGAGTAATCGGTGAAGAACCTCACCTTTGAAGAACTGACGACACTCCTCAGTCAAATAGAGGCGTGTTTAAATTCGCGACCTATGAGCACAATTAACGTTGATGATCCTGGAGAACCACTACCATTAACTCCGGGACATTTATTGGTTGGAGAACCATTATTAAATGTTCCTGATACTGATTACACAAATACCAATATAAGTTATTTATCTCGCTGGCAATTAATTCAACGCATTCTTCAGTCATTTTGGAAACGTTGGTCACAAGAATATCTTGTAACGTTGATGCATCGCTACAAATGGTCGTCCCAAGTTGCTGAGCCAAGGGTTGGTGACATTGTGCTTGTCAAAGAAGACGACTTACCGCCAAGTCGTTGGTTGTTAGGTAGGATCATTGAGAAACATCCTGGGGATGATAATATCACCCGTGTTGTCACGTTACGCACTAAATCCTCAACAATCAAAATACCAACATCCAAATTATGTATTTTACCCGTAAGTCAATAAATATTTGTTATTTTCTTTTATTTTACACATGTTGCTTTTATAACAAATTAACATTTAAATTTGCAGAATGAACTTATACCAAAATTTTACTCTTTTTATTAATTTAAAACAAAATGTGCAAAATCAAATTATATATCTTTATACATTAATTGTTAAGTATATTTACGCTGTTTACATATTGTTAGTTTAAGCTCACATTGGTTGTTTATATTTAGCTAGCTTTAAGTTCATATTCTATTCTCTATAATAGTTCATGTTTAGCTTTAAAATATTATAATACTTGTTATAATTAGTCCACAGTGCTTTCTTGCAGAACAGATCAAACTATTTAATCTTTACAGGCCAAGTACTTATGTTTATATATTATGTTATTGTACTTATGCAGTTCAAATGATTAATAGTACTTTAGTTCATAATTAGTTCATTTTAGAAGGACGTTCCTTCAGTAACGTCCTTGGTGGGCGGTATGTTTGTAACTTAACATTTTGTAAAGCTTCCAACGTCTACGATAGATGGCGTTGGCTTCGAATTAGAAGTCGTTAACGTTTGGCTTCCGCAATTTGTATAGGTCTATGCGATTTATTTTCAATAAACGAGTTCGAATCGGGGATCGACTCCGAGATCAGTACGCAGTTGTGGTCTTTTATTTAAATTTCCCGCTTGCTACAGTTCAGGTCAACTCAATTTCCCCTAAATACCACCCGGTAATCAAAACAAGGACAAAAATCCAGACCCGGAAAAATGATTTGTAGGCATACAGCACTGCAACATATTGCTAAGACTCTGCGCCATGGAATCATTAAAATGTAATGCAAGGTTACGATACCACCCATTTTCCTCAGAATCTCTATTTTTTCTATCCATCAACAAAATAATAAATTAAGTAAATAAAACACATTTTTTACTTATTATAAGCCAGTACTGGACCACAATCCCACATAATAATAATAACAAATAATAAAAAAGCCTAGACACCGGCAAATTACTCCACTCCTTTGCTGTAAGCATCACAAAAGACGAAGCAAACCGTTTGGTTTTAATGCGTTTCATATTGACAACAAAGGCACGAAGATCCGCCGAACGCCTGGTTTTCCGATGGTGGGAAGGAGATGAAGGAATTAAAGCGTGTAATTCCTGCGCACACTCACCGAAATGCATCCTATAACATACCGAGAGTCTGGCTACTCTACGCCTGTGCTCGAGGCTGACAAGATTGGTTTCAACCAAATCAAGGTCACCAATGAGCTTCTCAGCACGTCACTCCACTGAGTCCAACGCTGCTAGGTGGCATTTTGTAGCACCAGCCCATAAGTGACAGCAGTACTCCATGCACAACTTCCGCTTTATATAAGGTAAGAAGCTGCCCCGGCGTAAAGTACCGCCACACCCTTGCAATGACACCAAGTTTCCTTGTGGCTGCTTTGGCTCTGGACTCAATGGAGCACTCATAGTTGAGGTTCGGAGAAAATTCAACCCCTAACAACTGAAGGCGTTCAGTATATTCCAAGGATATATTACGGAAAGTAGGAGTCAAGGTAAGCGGGCTCCTTTTAGCGGTGAAAAGACACGCTTGATTTTTGGAACCTTTAAATCTCACGAGATTTGCATCGCCCCATTTGGAGACTGCCTGTAGTGTGAGACTCACACGATCAACCGTAGCCTCTCGTTCTGACTGGATTTGATCCCGACTGGCCTGAATATCGTCTGAATACCAATAGATACCGGGAATGAGCAGATCATTTATATGCAGTAGGAAGAGAGTTGCGTTGAAGAACAACGGCGTTAGTCACCACAGTATTGGATGAGCAGCCATTGACAACGACCCGGTGAAACCGTTCACTCAAAAAGCCCTTCACCCAGACAATCAGCCTGAAAGCTTGCCCAATAGACTAGTATACCAAACCCTGTCAAAGCACTTCGAAACATCGAGGGAAACAGCAAGTGTTTCACCACTGTTCTCGAGGGCTTCGCCCCATATGTGAGTGGGATACGGTAGAAGGTCCCCAGTTGATCGATTTCGGCGAAACCCGTACTGGCGATTACTGAGGAGATCATTTTGCTCTAGGTATGCCATGAGGTGGGTGTTCAATATACGATCCATAATCTTGCATAGTATGGAGGTAATGGAAATGGGCCGATAGTTGGCGGGGTCGGATCATCATGAAATTCAAGAAAATAACACAAAATGCAGGGACAAAATATCAAAATCATATAACTCGAAAGTTACTATCAGTAAAAATAAAAATATGAAAAGTTTTAACTCACTTTCGTACCACAAATGTAAAACCCAGTTACACGTAAACGAAAGTTCATTTTCCTTGATTAAAGGCAAATGTTGATGAGACACTTGAGGGAAATTTAATTTATTTTATCTCTCAAAAATTTAAAAATTTTTGCCTAAAAACGAAGAAAGCGAAACGAGGTAGCATTAATTACATTAACCACGTAAGTTCATTCGGTGAATTATGATCAAGATATACTAGCTATTTAATAGGAATTAAATTATATATTATTAAACGAAAATGGCGTGGACCGGCCGAAATAGCTCGAAGAACTAACAACCGGTGGGAAGAAAAGATTCTCTAGTGGCAACCTCGCACCGGTAATCGAAGTGTAGGGCAACCATTCATTAGATGGAGTGACGACTTGGTAAAACATGCAGGAGGTCAATGAATGCAGGTGGCTCAGTACCGTGCTTTGTGGCATTTCTTGACCTGAAGAGATTCTTGAGACCTGAAATGATGATGATGGTAAAACTTATAATAGTTCTTACTCCTCGGCCCTTTTTACTGAAAACGAGGCATTGCGTTTTAGTTCTCGGGGATGACCACGCATCTGCAATTTAAGTCTTAATCGAGGATAGATGTAGATGACTATGGGCCACAGGATCCATTTACCATCAGGGCTGTGTGCTTGTATGTCACCCTAATTCCATTAAAATTGCCATTGATTAATCCTCAATTTTATGATATGAGTCGACTATGGTTATATAATAAGTACAGCCATCCACGTTCAGAACCGTAACTGGCAGCAACGTCTATCTAAGGCGCGATACTTCTGATATCGTTAACTGCCTGCCAAGCGTGTCGACTATCGCAAATACTACCACGAGTCGGGCACACGTCTAACAATGGTCTTCCATGGGCTGATAATGAAGAAAAATTGAGTGTATTAGTAGTGAGTAGACGCAATGATTTTTTATCAATTCAATGTTTGACTTCAAAACTCAGAGCTGATTAGATCAAACTGAGATTCGTGTAATGAACACGTTGAAATTAGTTTCATTAAAAACTGTTTCAATTAGCGGTCAGCCATCATCTTTTTCTTCTAATGACATTTTACCTCGTTTAGATGCTAAACACGTAACTTATTATCGACGGTGGTGTGTTTTTTCTAGTGTAGTGGTATTGGGATTAGTGTTGGCGGGGTAAATGCATGAAATTTTGAAAGCGGGAGATGCTCTTCAACCTAGGTAAAACATCATTTTATTTTACACATACTTAAAAAATATCTATTTAACAAATACATTTTTAACATCTATAATAAATTTTATAAAATTAATTTAATGCAATAAGATCTTACAGTCCAACTGATGGAAAGTAGCTTGAAGCTGCAACAGCCTCAAAACTCGAATAGTCGCGGGTTTGATTTCACCTTTCGACTACTGTCATGAAACACTTGCACAAACTGTTAAGGGTTACGTGGAGTTGTGAACTTTACTTATTTTAGCAACATTAATAGCATTGCCAGTATTTTTTAAAGTGTATATGCAGTGGCTACCCTGCAAGGGACTAAAAATAAGTAATCACTGCTAATGTGTTGCCACCTCTCGGAAATAAAGTGGAATGCCTTGATATTACTAGGTGGTAGGACTCCTTTTCATTAAAATGTAATGCAAGGTTACGATACCACCCATTTTCCTCAGAATCTCTATTTTTTCTATCCATCAACAAAATAATAAATTAAGTAAATAAAACACATTTTTTACTTATTATAAGCCAGTACTGGACCACAATCCCACATAATAATAATAACAAATAATAAAAAAGCCTAGACACCGGCAAATTACTCCACTCCTTTGCTGTAAGCATCACAAAAGACGAAGCAAACCGTTTGGTTTTAATGCGTTTCATATTGACAACAAAGGCACGAAGATCCGCCGAACGCCTGGTTTTCCGATGGTGGGAAGGAGATGAAGGAATTAAAGCGTGTAATTCCTGCGCACACTCACCGAAATGCATCCTATAACATACCGAGAGTCTGGCTACTCTACGCCTGTGCTCGAGGCTGACAAGATTGGTTTCAACCAAATCAAGGTCACCAATGAGCTTCTCAGCACGTCACTCCACTGAGTCCAACGCTGCTAGGTGGCATTTTGTAGCACCAGCCCATAAGTGACAGCAGTACTCCATGCACAACTTCCGCTTTATATAAGGTAAGAAGCTGCCCCGGCGTAAAGTACCGCCACACCCTTGCAATGACACCAAGTTTCCTTGTGGCTGCTTTGGCTCTGGACTCAATGGAG